GAGAGAGAGAGAGAGAGAGAGAGAGAGAGAGAGAGAGAGAGAGAGAGGGAGAGAACAGAACGTTGAGTGGGTAGTTGTAGGGCCATGAAATGGGTTTTTTGGTAGAGCGCTGACTGGAAGTAGCCTGGAGCCCCTGCAAGGGACAGGCATCCACTCCACTGAGCTCCCAGAATCCAGGCTCTTAACACATGGTCTAAGATCTCCATTTGACATGCACTGTTTAGTCACATAGGCCATTGCAGCCCCCCTCCCCCACCCAAGAGCACATTTAGAGGGCATGACTACAGGCCTCATGCCCTAGAGAGATTTACATACTAATGAGATACCTGAAGACCAGAGGGCAGAGCCAATTAAGCATTCTTCCCCAGTTTCTTCCCTCTTCTCCCTCTCTATTTAATTCAGGTCTGCCCTGAGTTTCACAGGGGTACATCCAAATCCATCTACCATCCCCATGAAAATAAACTCTTTTGGAACCATAGAGTTTCTCGTGTCTTTGGGGCCTGACGTGGGAAAACGCAGAGAAGGCCTTTAATGAGCCACTGTAGCCGGAGCCCTGCTGCCCTGGTGCCTAACTCCCTGCCTCGAGGACCTTTCTGCTTTCCAGCCACGGGGACCCACCTCTTCAAGCAAGCTAGCTGGGCTAAGCGAGTAGGAGTCTCTCCTGCATGGCGATGCCAGGGCTTCTTTCTTCTCTCCCCGCCTCGTTTCTCTTGGCTGTGGGTCAGCTGATCCCCAACCATCTCCTGGCCAGGAGATCCCTAATCCATGAACATAGGATTTTTTTTTTATACTGAGGATTATTGAAACCAATGTGTTGATTATTTTATTAAGTTAAGTAAGATGAAAGTCAAAGACCTCTCTTTTTTTCCTCATCTCATCTCTTAAAAACAATGTATAAGCTAGGTTACACTTCGTGTTTGGTTTAGCATATTAACATCTTTCAATACATTCCTTCTATACATAACTTATTATTTCTAATGAAAGAATGTTGAATTTCTCTACGTCTTTCTTTGTATCTGTTAAGATCCTATAGTAATTTTCTTTGTTCTTTTACTGTTATAGTTCATGCTTACTGACTTGTGTATGTTGACTCATTATTGCTTGTCTAGCATAGTTCTCATTCCCTTATCACTTTTGCAACACGCAGTCTAGGTTTATTCAGAGTAATTAATAATGAGAAGAAAATGCTTCTAAATTGAACACAAAATAAGTTAAATTGTTAATACATGCAGATAAGTAATGTGCTATGTTGACATCTAAGGAATACAAAAATAGGAATAGTGAGTAAATGTAGTAAAAGTTGAATAAAAACGCTTCATCATTTCTATGTGGAAATAGTGAACTTGTTGGGAAACAAAATAAAACAAAAACAGACAAAAATAAAGCAAAGAAACAAAGCCAGGCATCAGTCCATGCACACATGTGTGGCCATTACAATATTAAGGATAGATGAACTTAAACTTTAGAACAGCCTAAATCTAGAAATCGCTAAGCCACATAAAGATACCCGAATTAAAAATTATCATAAAAACAGAAGTAAAAGGAATCTCACTTAAAAAGATACTTTTCTATGTATACAAAAACTTAGAAATGAAATAACCTAGAATACTAAAGATATCATGAAAAAGACATAAATAATGAAGGGATATTCTATGTTCATGGATGGAGAAATTAATATACTTAAAATATTCATACTACTAGAAAAAAAGCTTTACGATTCTATATGATTCTCAAATTACCTTGACATTAATAGTTTAAAAGAGTTTAAAAGAGTTGTAAAAAATTTTATGGATCCACAAAAGCTACAAATAACAAAACCATGTTGAAAAAAAAACAAGATAAAACAAATTGATTCGAACTAAAACCATAAACAAAAACATCTACAAACCAAGAAAAATATTAACAAAATCATATGATGACTCAGAACTGGCAGAAGAACTCACAAAAAAAAACCCACTGCAAATAATAGACTAAGAATACATATACATATACACATATACATATATAATGTATATATATAGTATATAAAAACATATGTTATATAAATAATATATTATATATAAATAATATATATTATATATAATATATATAAGAATGCTAAAATATACAGGAAACATGAAGTACTTAATAACAATGAAACAAATAATGTCATCAAAAATGGTAAAATGGGGCTGGAGAGATGGCTCAGTGGTTAAGAGCACTGACTGCTCTTCCAGAGGTCCTGAGTTCAAATCCCAGCAACCACATGGTGGCTCACAACCATCCGTAATGAGATTGGATGCCCTCTTCTGGTGTGTCTGAAGACAGCTACAGTGTACTCATCAATACAATAAATAAATAAATATTTAAAAAAAACGGTAAAATGTTTTCCAACCACATTCTCCAAGGAGAAAAAGACAGGGTTGACAGAGTTGGTAGACATTTGAAATATATATATGTATATATATATATATATATATATATATATAGAGAGAGAGAGAGAGAGAGAGAGAGAGATTTAAATTGAATCATAAGTATATATCACTTGATATCTACTTGATTTATGACCTTTAAAACATAAAAGCATGTATTAGTAATGACTTTTAGAAACGGTCGCCTTTATATTAGGTTGTTGTTACTATAAATCAGTGCGGTTGGTTTTAAAGAATAATGTAGATGTTTCTAAAACAAAAGTGATACATTGTTGTAAAGTTAATAACTCTTTTTCTGGCCCTAAACCTAAATAAAATAACTATGACAGCATTTCTGCACTTTCCTCTTCACTGTAGTTTACTTACAAGCACCACAATATGGAAGCCACAAGACTATGAATTCATGTATGTATAGATGTTTAACACATGTTAGATGTGCGTAGCAGAAAACTACATTATTAAATGGGAAAAGATCTTGTTTAAAACAATAGCTAGAGTTTTATCAGTTATTGTGTTAAATAACTCGGGCCTAAAAAGAAAGGCACAGAATGATCTTAATGCTATATGGGTAATAAAAATATTAAACTCAATGAGCTAGACACTATAAAGTGATTTACATCATTGAAGAGATGAGGGAGGAAAGGTTACTCTTAGAAAAGTTTAGGAGCTTCTGGTATTTTATTCTATAGAAATGTGAGTACGGTTAATAATTTGAATCTGAAAACTGCCAGAAGATGTTATTTCAAGTCTCACCATAAAGAAATGGTAGATGTTTTAATATTAAGTCAATTTAAAATAAGAGCATTCTATTAGTACTGGGTAGTATTGGGTTCTTCCCTAGGACCTATGATGCATCTAGGCACAGGTTCTTAGTTCCTTTAATAAAGACATGTACAGACTTCATCTTGGAGTGGTCATTAGATCCAATTAGTAAGTAGTTGCTTACTACAATAACAATGCTACTATTGCAGCAGCAGGCATATATTGTCAGAACAGTAATTGTTGTAATTTGCTTGGATCACAACTGGTTGGGAATAATGATTACTATTCTCTTGTAGCATGCATAGCATTTTTCATCACTGTGAGAGCTAACAAGAGAAGCTTCCTACTAAGTATTAGCTTATTTTCTCAAGTTTTGAGACTCAAATGTATGTTATCTCCTAGCAAAGAGTCTTGACTTTACATTTCTAAAGGGTAACCAAGAGTACTGACACTATCCTATAAAGCTTGAGAGTCTATGCGTCTCCATTGAGCAATAATTCAAAAAGATCACTTATTTCTGGTTCTCAGATTTTTATTTACTATCATATGTAGTTGGAGTATTGTGTTTCCACTATAGCACAAGTCTTCAGATCTCTTTTTATATGTGTATGTGTATACGCATATATTTTTGAAAGCTTATGTACTACTTGTAGATTTCTATATAGAGTTTTCAGAAGGCCTTTACTGCTTGCTGTCTTCCATATTTCCCATGCCAATTTAACACTTCCTATTCCCTTATTTCTCTGTAACTATGTACACTATTGTGATGCGCCATCACTAAATGATTTCCTTTTCCCACATGGTTCCTGAATAAATCCTTGACCTTTATAGGTATTCTAAATTGAGCACACACATTTGAATATTAAAAGATAACATAAAAATATTGAAATTCTTACAAACTTTCATTTCACTCTTGTGTAGGGGTCATGTAAATCGTTTCCATAGTGTTCCATTTTAGTATATGATATACTGAAGTATGAAATCATTCAGTACTCTTAAAATGATTTATCAGACATCTACTATATGCCAGAATCTGAACAGAAAATCTAAACAAATTTTAGATGGCATGATAATTCCTATTTACACAGAATATACAGTATATTAATGGGGCAATTGCAAGACATATAATTTTGTGTGTGTATATACATATGTGTGTGTATGTGTGTGTGTGTATGTGTGTGTGTGTATAAGAAAACTTGATTTAAAATTAGCTCATAAGGAAACCAAACTATTAATAGCAGGTGGGAGAAAATTTTTCTTAACCAATACTTAGAGAAAATGGTAAAATAACCACAGAAATTATCAACACACATACACATTTATTATATGATATATATCATATATGTAATATATATGTCATAAATGCATTATAACATATGTAATAATATATGTTAAGCATACTTAATTTGTGTGTATAACTATGAATAAACATTGTGTGAGGAGTGAAGAAGTACTCAACATGAACATATGGAAAAGAGGAGCTCCCAGAGTCTAAGCCATCAGCTTGGGAGCACATAGGGAGGGACCCATGGCTCCAGCTGTATATGCCTTGTCTGACATAGGTGGGAGAGGAAGTCCTTGATCCCATGAAGTCTGAATGCCCCAGTGTGGGAGAATTTGAGGGAGGGGAAGAGGGAGGGAGTGGTTGGGTGGGAGCACATCCTCATAGAAGCAGGAGGAGGGAGGACGGGATAAGGGGTTTCTGGGTGGGGGGGGGGAAATGGGGAAAGGGGATAACATCTGAAATATAAATAAAATACCCAACAAAAAATTTTTAAAATGATTCAATAATTTCAAAAATATATTACTGAAAAAATTTCTACTACTAGTGATATAATAAATACACATTTTCAACCAATCTTTTCTTTTCCATTCTAAAAGTTCATTACCAAAGCCTATAATGAGTCCATCTGAGACATAATCCCTCATTTGAAGTCTATTCAATTTTCTTCCTAGTCTGCTCTCAAACTTTTGTCTAGAAGAAATAGCTGGGAGGACAGACATTTTAATTCTCCAATTTCAAATCATTTTGAAACTTCCCAGGATAGATGCTATAGGTAAATCTTTGTGACTTAATCCCTCTTTCTTTTCTCAATAATGTTCTAAGTTTAATGACTCCCACTGTGGCTGTCCCATACTGAATTGACGTCTGCACACTCTCTTTAACCCACCCATTTCTACTTTCCTGTACATCACTTATGATCCCTGGAATTATTTATTTAGTTTGTGGCAAAGTGCTACATAGTGACTTGGGATTGAAGAAAATTATTTAACATCTGGGCTTCATTTTCCACTTCCCCATCTGTAAAACTTGATGTCATAATATTTATACAATCCTGCACAGGAGTGATAAAAGAATTTACTCATGTTGGTAAGGAACATTTAGATGCAAGGCACAGCAGAAGTATAAAATGCTGCTATTATTTTCTGACAGTACAGTCAAGCTCCATAAATAATGTGGTCAGGCCCTGAGAACCGTATGATGGTATGTAATGACTTGCAGGTGGGATTCAGTCAATAGAAAAGGAGCTCTCATGCTCAAGTCTTGTCACTTGGGTTGTGTAAATGTCACGATGTATACTTTGTGGGACAGCCTTTCAACTCCTTAACTATGAAAATTAAGATTTTACTTTCTCCAACACTAAGGAGAATGAGCTGTGGTGAGGGCATAAACTCCATTTTATAGAACAATTTGTGTAAGTGGCTTTTGAGGTTTCAGATTAAGTGATTTTCTTGTATTCTGTCATGAGACAAGGAAACGGACAATCCCATGGGAAAGGGACTCCTTCAAGGGTACATACTGTGGGATTGTAGCCAGCCATGGTCTCTGCTTAAATGTCCACATCTCCAGGGAGTGAGATGCAAACTAGCAGTCTTTAATATATTTTATGTGAAAGAATCATCCCCAGTGGATAAGGTAAACTTTATGAAATCCGATCCTGACCAGATATTATTCACCTTTATCATTCAATCTGATTTTTTTATTTTGGGTATTTTATACATAAGTGGTGTCTTCACATCATTTTTATCCCATCCTCTCTTCCATTCAAATCCTCCCTTACCTACCATTATCTCTCAAATTTATGACCCTTTTTCATCATTGTTACACACATGAATGCGTGCACAATTCAACTCAACAAATTTTTATAATGCACACGTCTCTTTCAAATGGTCTTATTACAAAGAAATAGTAGATGTTTTAATACTAACTCAATTTAACAGAACAAAAGCATTCTATTAGTATTGGGTAGTATTGGGTTCTTCTCTAGGACCTATGACGCATCCAGCCACAGGTTTTTAGTTCCTTTAACAGGGAAAGGTACAGACTTCATTGTGGAGTGGGCATTAGATCTAATTGGTAAGTGGTTGGTTACCACAATAACGTTAATGCCACTATTGCAACAGCAGGTAGATACTGTCACAAGTAATTTCACCACAAGTAATTTTAGTTTAGGGTGTCTAAACCTAACTGTGACTATAATATGTAGTATTTGTCTTAAATACAAAGTTCTTAATTTAAACCTTTACTTGAAGAAAACATAAGAGATTGAGTTTTCATAGTCTAGAAACTTTTATTTACACAATTTTCAGTGACTTGTGTAATCTAAATACAAGAAAGAATGTTTATGCCTGCTAACACTATGTTATTCAAAGAGAAGACAGGATACTATAAGCAATCATGAGAGAATTATAAAAATGAACCTATAACATTTAAGAGGAAAGTGAACTTAAAAGTGAAAGCAGAATTAAAAGTCACATTGGAAGTCAGGAACTTCCAATGATACCATTCCATAAGTAAGAAGCTTAAAACAAATCACAAAAATGAGTAGAGAATTTTAATTGATTAAAAAAAAAAAAAACAAATTGTTACTACATTGAGTGGATGGAAATCCAAGTGCATTCACAGTACTGAATATGTGTTACACGTTGGGACATCCAGCTCAGGATGAACCCTTCTGTGTTTCCCTATTTAAATAAACTGCAATTTTTTTTACCATATCCATATATTTGATATGGAGAAAAATACTTAAAGACTTAATGATAATTTATCATACCATATTAAATATAGAGACATACAAAGATGGGCATTGAATAAATGTCAAATGTTTGTCAAATGTGTAGCTTCAATTATAAAAACTTTGTTAACTTAATCAACATTTATAAGTTAAACATATTTATAAATAGATACATATTATAAAATTCAAATTTAAACATTAAGCCTTACAAAGTTTCCTTTAGTGGTATTTAATTTCTTTCCTTCATTCTTTCTTTCTTTCTCTTCTACTTCTTCTCCTGTCTGTTCTCGGTAACTTCCTCTCCATTTTCTCTCCTTTCCTTCTCTTTCATTTTTAATTCTGAGCCTCCTTCTCCTGCTATGTAGGGCAAAAGTTTCACATTGTTGTCCACAATAACTCTAAATTTCTTCATATAAGAAACTTTATAGCTTAGAGGTTTAAACTGTATCCACAGACCTCAATGTAACCGAATTTAAATTCCAAGTGACTAATGATCACGATTAACTTTTTGAACAGAAGTTTCAAAATTATCAAAGTATGATGTTTCATGTATGTGCCATTGCATTTGTTTATGATAATGTTAAATGTGCATTTAAAAACTCTTGACAATGTATTAAACATTTAAAACATCTAAAATCAAATTACATGTGAATGGCTGTTTGGTGAGATTATCATTAGGTAAAACTAAAATTTTTAATTCTATACAATTATGTACAAATTATGTATTTAATAATATAAAGTTATATAATCTAAAACTATATAATCATAATAAAATAATTTCTTTGTTTAATTTTTTGTTTTATTTTTTGTCTTTATATCAGTTATCACTGCATCACACTCAATAACATGGCAACTGGAGAGGCAAGTGCTCTTCTGTTGAGGTAACAAACATTAATGTAAAAATTCAAAGTTACAAAGGAAAAAGCGCTCCAAATAGAAAAGAAATAAATGTGAACATAGAGTTTTGATGGTTTATGCATTTCATTTCTTTTATAAAATTGTACCACTGTTAGTCTTCAGATGACTGACTGTCAGTCATTGGGAAGAGATTTATAAGCTACTAACAACAACAACAAAACCCCTACCATTATCACAGAAACACACAATATAAAATTGCAATTTGGTAGAAAGTTCCAAGGAAGTAGATTACACATCATGTGGTGTTCCCCAAATTTTCAGCTACTTGGACATGAGCTTATTGCATCATCTTCCTGTAAGATGGAGTCAGAAGCTTAAGTAGAACCTGGAATCATGTAATTATTACAGACATTTTCTGCTTCATGAACAGAAAATAAATGTGAAATTGCCACCAGTTCTCTAAGTAAGTCAGATGTCATTTGGTTTTTCATATTTTTAGCTACACTGCATCCCTGTATAGAGAATTAGAATTTATGCATATGGACTCGCAGAAAAACATATGTTAGAATGTTTATCAAACAGAGCATCATTCCCAATTGCTCCTTATAAGTAAGCTTTCTCCAGAACAGTCACACAAGAGACCATTATCAGGTACATATAATGTTGAATATTAAATCATCACCGAATACCTGAAAGTTCTAATAATTTCATCGCCAAGGTTATACCCACTATTTCCTCCTTAAACAAAGCTACAAATAATCAGTCTCACTACTTTCTCCATGACATACAAGTTCCCTTTCTCCCATGCCTATCTTTTAGAGAGTTACACAATTGCTGAAAGAAGGGTGGAACTAGTGAACCAATGATGAACTCTCTCAACCTGGAAAAATAAGTTAATAAGAGCAGAGCCTGCAGCTTGCTGACATCAAAATATATTAGTGGTATAATTGCATAGGCATCTCATTTGAGATTTAAAGGGCTACAGTGCAAAATTAGAACTCCAACCCTTAGCCTCTGTGCTGGCTGGTTTTGTGTAAACAAGCTGGAGTTGTCACAGAGAAAGGAGCTTCAGTTGAGAAAATGCCTCCATGAGATCCATCTGTAAGGCAT